CAAAGTCAAGTCTTACCTTCAAGTTCTTGGAGATAACATGAGCAACTGCCATTGCCTATACAGTGTTAGGACTCTTGGACTTCCCTGATGAACAACTGGAAGAGAGGTTTCCCATGCCTAGCACTTGGGCATTTGTTAGTTGATGGCTCTTGGAGGAGTATTATCACCCAAGTGGAGTCAATGCATTTACTATATATTATATGTATACACGTATTTTAAGTAAGCATAAGTAATTTCCCCCATGTCTTTTTTTCATAATATTTTTATGGATTATTTGGGAATTTGACATCATGAATCCTGAGCACACGCTATTCCCAGTCCTCCCAGGTCTACCCCCTCCCCTCTCGTGACTTCTTGCCCCCACCCTAAAGAAAAAGAAGAAAAAGAAAACAAGTCCAATTTGTATTGTCCATATACTCACTGGAGCATGGTCAAACTCTTGGTGGCCAGCCCCTTAAAGAGAACTGAGTCTTTCCTCACCGACTCCCCTGCCAGAAACAATCAGTTGTAGAGAGCTACACTTCAGCATCCTTAGCACAATCTTTAAGAGTTCTCTTCAGTGGCTTTCTGTCTAAGCTGTTATTTTGTGTGTGTGTTGGGGTGAGGGGTAAGGTGGGGGAGGAATTTGTCTCTCTCTTTCTCAGCTGTGAGTCTGTAGTCATCAATACCATGGCAGAAGTAGCTTCCCTGCTCTTTGTAGTCAGCAGGAGCACTGATCATGAACTTGGAGACAGCATGGACCATGCACATCCACATGGTCTCCAGTGTCAGCATGTGCCATAGACCTCAGCATAGTATCTAGTGGCGGTACCGACCTCGGACATCAGCACAACCCTCTGCCACAGTAGGACCATGGGACCAGACGTGCCCCTCAGTGGCAGCATGGACCCAGACATCACCATGGCCTCAGGTGGCGTCACAGGCCACTCACATCTGTATGGCTCTCAGTGGTCACACAGCATGGACATGAACATGGCTTCAGGCTGCAGCACAGACTGTGGACATCCACATGGCCCTTGGAGGTAATACAGGTCACGGACATAAACACAAACCCCAGCTGCAGTAGAACCACAGACCTAGACATGGTCCTTGGCAGCAGCACAGACCCAGACATCATCCTGGCCTTAGGTGGTAGTGCAGGCCATTCATATCAATATAGCCTCCAGTGGAAGCAGAGCCCACGGACATCAGCATGGCCTCAGGCAGTGGCCCAGAGCGAGGACATCTGAATGGCCTTCAGTGGTATCTTGGGACATGAACACGGCTCCCAGCTGTTGTAGGACCACAGATACCCATATGAACTTTGGGCTTCAACATGGCCTGGGGCAGTGGACTATGGATACCAAAGTGGCCTACAGGGAAGCATGGACCATAGAGGTCTTTTGAGGAGATCCAGTCCAGAAAATGATCCGTTTTCGTCTTGGACATACTGTTGTTGCTCAGAACCAGGGAGATGGTGTGGCTGGGCAGTGTGTGTGTATGTGCGTGCGTGCATGTGTGTTGGGGGGTGGGGGGTGGCTGAGTCAGAACACAAGTCCAGGCTGCTGCCCACCATCCTGTTGGCCCTACACCATGCTTGCCTGTCCACTGCAGGCTTCTCTCACATCTATCCCCCGCTGTCTCATTTCCAGTTCTACCTCTCTACTGCTCACTCACCACTCTTTATCATTTCCACCTCTGCATTGAATATTCGTTTGTCATTTGTCATACTGGTAGTGGGAACTGCAGTGTTTCACACAGACACACACACACACACACACACACACACACACACACACACACACACGCAAACATTTATGCACAGATTTCTGGTTTATAAATACTGGACCATCGCTGAGCCTCGTCTCAGATACCCTGCTGTGGCCAGAGTCATGGTGATCCTGCAGCTCTGGTTCCGCAGTGCCGGCTCCTTCACACGCTCCAGCAGCTCGTAGATGGGGTAGATGTTGGGGTAGACCGACTCAGAGCCCCAGATCTGGGCCCAGATGGTAGCTGAGTTGGTGAGCCACTGGCGGGGCCGGCCTGGCTTCTGCCACCACTGCTGGCAGCGGGCCCCTATGGCTTTTTGAGGCATCTTTCTGAATTGTCCTCTCTCCCCCTTCTCACTTAATGACACCCATTCCCCCCCTTCATCCCAGCTTCACAGCACCTGTGTCCTACTGACCTCCTTTCTAGAGCTTCTTCTCCCCCCTCACCCCATGGTCTCTTTCTACTTTTTACTCTAGGATACTCACATCCTAAGATTAGGAGCCAGGATCCACAAATAAGAAAGAACAGTGTTTGTCTTTCTGGGTCTGGGTTACCTCGCTCTGTATATTTTCTAGTTCCATCCATGTACCTGGAAAATTTCAGTTTTCTTTATAGCTGAATAGAATTCCATGTATCATATCTTTAACAACACCAAGTGGTAAAAATTCAGGTGTTTCTTAGTTTGGTTAAGGAGGTGAGACTACTGTGTGCATTGGAGATCGAGAAGTGGTTTTAATGTGTAGCTGGGAAACGTCCAGCAAGCGGTGAGCTCCTGAGATGCCTGGTCAGTCCAGTGTAAGGGCAGTCCCTGGCTCGGGGCCAGGTTGAACTGTGGCTTTGCTTCTTCCTAATGCAGGATGCCTCGGTCTCCCCTCTGTGTCATCCTAATGTTGCCCACAAGATGGTCAGGACTGACTTGGTGAGAAGAGGTGTGAAGAGGTGTAAGAGGAGCCCTGTACAGCTCCTTCCCTCTCCAGGCTCCCGTCTGTGTTTCAGGTGGAGGTGCTCAGACCAAAACTTCAGAAACATGGTACAACACAGATCTGAAATCTGTGCATAAAACGGCTTTTCAAGATGCATTTGATGGGGCTGGAGAGGTGGCCCAGTGTATTGCTCTTGCAGAACACCTGAGTTTTGTTCTCAGCGTTCACCATCAGGCAGTTCCAAATTGGCCTGTAACTCCAGTGCTTAGGGGATCCGACGCTATCTTCTGGTATCTGTGATGAGCAGCTTCTCACAAATGTGCATATACAGCCCCCTAAATACACACACAAATCATATAATTTTTAAAAATTAAACAATTTTACAAATCTTAAAATGCATTTGATGGTGCCTTCTAAGTGAAATTTTCTGAAGCAGTAGATGTCCTTAGTTTGTCAAAATAGATATGGAGGTAATGGATAAGATGACACATCATCCAGTGATTTTTTTTTTTTTTTAATCTAAATGTGAATGTAGGCAGGGGTTACCACCTTTCTAATAAACCTGGTGGAGTGATGTAAACAGGTATCTCTGAGGTCAAATCTTTGCTTTTCCCTTTCTAGGTGTAACTGTTAGCATTGTGTGTGTTAGTTCTATCTGGTCTGGATAGCTATCCCCCATGGCAGTACTTCCATGTGAGCACTTGATTGAAAGAAAGTAAAGCTAGAACTTTCATTGCTAGCCCATTCCATTGGGAAAACATTGGGGTTAAGTCCATGAGTGATTATTTAGAGCAAGGAGTTTGGTTTTCTTAAATCATGTTCATTTGACGGCTCTGTTGGCTTTGGCCTTTGCTGGAAACGCTGTTCAGTTTTCACATTCTTATTTTTATGTGTATGGGTTTATGTGTACACACAGTGCCGGAAGAGAACATTGACTCCTCTGGAATTGGAATTACAGACTGTTGTGAACCATCATATGGATGCTCAGAACTGAACCCAGGACCTCTGGAAGAGAAGCCAGTGCTCTTAAATGCTGAGCCATGTCTCCAATCCCTTATTCAGTTGATAATTGGACAAGATTCAGAATGTATACTGTCCTTAGCATAGTTAAAAATATTCCTGGCAAACACATGTTGAGAATCCGTGTGTACAGATACACATCTGTATCGATAGATGGAAGGACTGTTTACTCATATTTATGCTTTCTGGCTTTTTAGTCCACATGGTCCTAGTTTTGTTGTTTATTGTCGGAAAGGCAGAAAGTAAAGGATTAAGGCAGATTAGTGTTGATGCTCAGAAATAAAATCCCTCCAAATCTAGATGCTGCAAAAGCAATATTAGCAAAATTACTTAGGGTTGGCATGGAGACTAGGTACCTATGAGGTGAAGGATAGTCGCTTTTTGGAATCTGTACCATGCAATGCCGAATTAGCTCAGTATGTGGGGGCGTAGTTGATGAGTCACTGTCTGAAAGTGGCCCAGATAATCATCGTTAGGGGAGAGCATCGGCCTGTGGCATAGTGTCCTGACAGACTCTCTTATATCTGAAAGACAGGAGAGTCTGCTCCAAAGAGCACTGGGGTTTAGTAAGGATAAGAGCAACATCGGTATTATAATACTGCAGTATCGCTGCAGTATTAAGTCAGCTCTATGGTCAGAGCCTCTCATTATATTATCTCTGATGAATTAAAAGGGAGGCATTTTCCCTGGTGTTGGTGGCCATGGGGTAGAGCACTTGGCCTTTGTTGAGGCACCCTAGTGTAATTTTTTTTATTACATTTATTTGGGCTGGAACATGCCACCATAAAGGTAAGAAAACAATTTGCAGAAGTTGGTTCTCTCTTTCCACCAGTGGATTCTGGGGGTAGAACTCCGGTTGTCAGGCTGAGCCTTCTTGTCGGACCAAGGCACCCTGCTTCAAAACAAGCATGATATTTCACTGATAGCAGGAAGAAGTCCTAGCCTCTTAAGATTAAAGGTACCGCCGTTCTTATAACAGCACATTTTTAACATTCTGAAGCTGAGAGGCACATAGTTGGCGTCTGTCTGAGTTCAGGGAGTGGTCGTCTTTAGTGGCTAGTGAGTTACTTCCACATCTCATGTATAAGATATTTGTGGGTCAAACACTATACTTTTATTAATGCCATTGTATTGAAACTTGGGAAGTGAAGGCTGTGTTGATTAGTGGTGGTGGTAAATATTTTTATCCTGGGGAGTAACAACAGGAAAGGTTTTAATAAGAGCGGCATGTGGGGGTGTGGACGGTGGAGAGAGAGTAGGACTCTCTAAGGCGCTTTCATAACACTGCTCTCTTCTTTGAATTTCTAGTCTTTATAACCTGGCTTCACTGGAACTGAGAGAGAATCTTCTTACGTACCTTCCTGAGTGAGTCTCTGGGGAAAATAAGGGGGTTTTGTGCAGAGTGACTGGCGGTATAATCCTCCCTGGGTGGTGGTGCTTTCTGCCACATCCACATGAACCGTGCTTTCTCTAAGAAACTAGTTCAAGGAAGGAAGTGCACTGCTCTGTGTGCCTCAAGCCTTCTCTGAGCATCTTTGTTGTTGGTTGTTTCAACAGCTCTCTCACCCAACTGAGGAGGCTCGAAGAACTCGATTTAGGGAACAATGAAATCTATCATTTGGTAAGTGTGTATCTGAGAGAGTTGATGTTTTTTGTCCTCATAATCTCAAGTGATTTTGAGGAGTTCAGTAGGCATGTCTTTCTTCAGGTACAGCTAGGAAACACTGAGAATGTGCTTCTGTTCACAGTGGTTGAGAAATGCAGTCTGGGGAGAGTCGGGGCTAGCGGAGTGGTCATGAGGGGAGGCGTTTGCATTCTAAGAAAGAGTTTGCACACTTTTAGGGGTGGAGTCTTGATAGAAGAGAAGTAACGACCAACCCCACTGTGGTACCCTGTTCCATTCGATGATTCTTTCTCCCATAATGGAAGATGGAGGCCTAGGGCCTTGTTACTATGATGTTACCTTTTGTTCCAGCCAGAATCAATTGGGGCGCTCCTACATCTGAAGGATCTCTGGTTGGATGGAAATCAACTCTCTGAATTACCTCAGGTAATTTAGTGTCTCCCGAAATAAACAGCAACAGCAGTGAACTGTGTGTCTTTCCTGCTTCTGTGGGGCCTTTCTAGAAGACCTCAAAGATAAGAAACATTGTTTAAAAAGCACATTTGCAAATAGGCCCTGAGCTTTCACCCTTGTGCAGTGCCACGGGGAGATTGAAAACCCAGCCCACCGTCTCTAAAGATGCCGAAGTCTGTACTTCATCTTGTTCTCCCTGCCCAGTATCGTTTACTTCAAACCCAGCAGACCTGTGAATTATAAAGACCCTAGTTAAGACAGTATAAGTCTCTGCCTCTTTTAGTGATGTGCCCAAGTGCTTTAGGATCATTTTTTAACTACATTTTCCCCCTGTGGTAGTTAATGTAAAGTAATATTAAGAGCCCCCTGTAGCAGGAACCTTAAAAGTTCTTATTAATAAAATCAAACCCGAGGCCAGTTATTGGGGTCAATGCTGGTAGCTCAGAGAGACAGAACAAGCCACAGCTAACCTCACCTGGCCAGATCCTCAGCTGGTCTTGTTTCCTCAGACTGGAAGCTTCTTTGTCCTCATCCAGAATGAATCTCAGCTGAACTGTGCTGCTCGAAAGCCTGAAGCTTAACCAGCCACGTGCTTAACCAGCCAAATGCTGCTAGTTTCTGGTCCTCACGCCTTATATATCTTTCTGCTTTCTACCACCACTCCCTGGGATTAAAGCCTCACTTTCTGGGATTAAAGGCGTGTGTCACCATGCTTGGCTGTTTCCAATGTGGCCTTGAACTCACAGAGATCCAGAGGGATTTCTGTCTCTGGAATGCTAGGATTAAAGGTGTGTGCTATCACTGCCTAACTAGTGGCTCTTCTGTTCTCTGACCCCAGATAAGTTTATTAAGGTACACGATATTTTGGGGAACACAATACCACCACAGCCCCCCCATGTCCCCCCCCCATCACTCACGGTTTGAGCTGGTGTGCCACGATGTTTATTTAGTCTTTTCTCTACTGTTGTCAGAGGTGAGACCCATGTTCTAAATGAAAAGGGCCTTGAGCTATTTCCTCCTTCAGTGTGGAGTCTAGCAGGCAGGTCTAGTTTCAGATGGATCAACTGAGAAACTCCCCCCAAAAACTTTCTCCAGCACAACAGGCATTTCTTATTGTTACCTCCTTTTTCTCTGTCACAGGGTTTGAATCTTGAGTGTTCACAGACTGTGCCTTTTATGGTGTGGATGAATGATCCCGTTTTTAAAACAGTTTGCGTGCTGCCCACTTGATTGTGTGGCCCAGTCATGATGGGGACTACGAGCTGTGGGTGGGGAGTGACAGGGAGAAGCCAGGAAGTCTGACACTAGAAGGACACACTCAACTAAAATGTGGTTGTCACTGTGACGGCACTGAGGTTCTCATGATGTCATCTAGTGACTAATGGAACTGAGAAACTAGATTCTACTTCTGAGATGTGAGCTGCAGTCCAGAAAGAGAAACAGATAAGTCACTTGCGGTAGCCTTTGACTAGTGCTTAGATTTCACTGGAACACGTGTGAAATTCTTGCCGGAGAACTCCTGGATGGGGGGAGAGTGCTGTGGAATACCAGGAGTGTAATATAATACTAGCCGTGTGACATTAAAAGGGGGAGAACACCTGGCTGTGCAGATGTGTATAAATGACTGTGTGGCCTGTGGCATTCTAACCCCAAAGGAATTGGCTCTCCCATGGATTACGATGTAAGTGCTTATTTAAAAGTCTCCTTTGCCTCTAGCATCAAGTTGTGCTAAACCCAAAGCCTCCTTTAGACTCTGTGGCTGTGATTCATATAGTTTAACATTTTTATTGGAAAGGGGTCTAGAAATTTACTCAAGTTTTTACACCTAGATATGTGTTAAAATAACATACTTAGAACTGAGGTCTTCAATTATTTTATTTTTGTATTTTATGTGTGAGTGTTTTCCTGGCATGTATGTATGTCCACCACATTTCTGCAGTGCCTCCCAGAGGCTTGAGGAGGGAGTCGGAGACCCTGGGACTAGAGTTGCAGATGGTTGTATACTTGCGTGTGGGTGCTGGGATTGAACCTAGTTCTTTTGACAGAGCAGCCCATGTTCTTAATCACCGAGCTCTCTAGCCCCAGAACTGAGGATTTATTTATTTATTTATTTATTTATTTATTTATTTATTTATTTATTTATTTATTTATTTATTTATTTATTTTTTGGGTTTCTTTGAGACAGGGTCTCTCTGTGTAACAGTCCTGTCCATCCTGGAACTTGCTTTGTTTACCAGGCTGGCCTCAAACTCACAGAGATCTGCCTGTCTCTGCCTCCCAAAGAGACTGTTTATAAAAACAGTTATATATATATATATATATATATATATATATGAAACATATATTTTATGTATATGTACATATGTATATAAAATGTATTTTGATCATATCCACCCTCCACTCCCCTCCTCCAACTCCCCATACTCAGCTTCATCTCTTCCCACCTTCATGTCCTCCTTTTCTTTTGGACCCAGTAAGTCCAGTTAGTGCTGCCCATATGCACATGGGTATGGGCCGCCTACCATGGGCCGTGCTCTTAAAGAAAAAGGAGTCTCCTTTCTCCAGCAGCCATCAGTTGCCAGTAGGTCCTCACTTGGAGGGGCGGATGAGACTTTGTGAGCCCCTGCCCAGTCTGTGCTCGAGTTTTGAGCAGCTTGATCTTGTGCAGACAACCCCATGTGCTGTGAGACCATGAGTCCAACAGTCAGATCATGTCCAGCGTTTGACAGCATTCACCCCCATCTTCCAACTCTTACATTCCTTCTGTTCCTGTGTCTGTGATGTAGACCTGGGTTTGGTTGCGAAAAGCCCCGATAGCAAATTCCTTCCTGCTGTGCCAGCTCCAAGCATGTGTTTCTCTTTCTGTGCCGTTCACGCAGGAAATAGGCAATCTGAAGAGCCTGCTCTGCTTAGATGTCTCTGAAAACAGGTTGGAAAGACTTCCTGATGAAATCAGTGGCCTGACTTCTTTAACAGACTTAGTCATTTCCCAGAACTTACTGGAAACAATTCCTGATGGCATTGGTAAGTATTGGAAAGTAGCAGACATAGAGTTCCACCTGCTGTCTGTCGTCTTGAGCATTTGGAACTCACTCTCTAATTCTTTGCTCATCGCTGTTCAGTGCTGGGAATGTGGCTCCTCGTTGCTTGTTTTTTAGAAGGAAAGCAGAGGATAGCAAATACGTCTGCCCATCCTGGTTTGGAGAAACCTGTAATATTGTTACTTTCAAGCATTGATTCATGTCTACTTTATCCGAGCTCCATAATTATAAAAGTGACTAGTCACAGTTAGAGGATGTATTTAAGGCAAATGAGCAGTCACTAGGATGTTTTATATGAGAATCCTAAACAGTCCATGAGAGTGTAGCTTGGACATCACTGAGAACTTAGGTCTTTATTGGACTCGATCCTGATGAGAGTGCATTGGGAAGGTGCTTTTAAAGGGGACAGTGAAGCCGGGCGGTGGTGGTGCACACCTTTAATCCTAGCACTTGGGAGGCAGGGGCAGGCGGATCTTTGTGAGTTTGAGGCCAGCCTGGGCTACAGATCAAGTTCTAGGACAGGCTCCAAAGCTACACAGAGAAATCATGTCTCAAAAAATCAAATAGATAAATTGTGATAAATAGATAAATAAACAAAAATAGAGGACACTGATAGAGCTGGTTATTTTCTAATATGCTGGGAGAGATCTTTTAACCATCCCTTGCTATTTCCTTCCTTCCTTCCTTCCTTCCTTCCTTCCTTCCTTCCTTCCTTCCTTCCTTCCTTCCTTCCTTCCTTCCTTCCTTCCTCCCT